GTGAGGCGGAGTGCGCGTGGGCAGGCGGAGGGCGGTTCTGCTTGAGGAGAGTAAGGCCGGCTGCGGCCCGGCCCGGGGGCGGCGTGCCCCCCGCCGACTCCCGGGTCTCCGCGCCGCCGAAAGGCGCTCTTGGAGGCGGGGGGGCTGGAGGGGCAATTGTGAAACCCTGACGCGGTGACGGGACGCGGCGTGGGTGGACGTTGTCATCTCCCCAGTGGTTTCCAGGGTTGGGGCCCGCCAGACTCTCTCATTCGGTAAAATCAGTGCTCTGGTTCTTTGGAAAGTGAGTTCAGCAGAAAAACGTGTACCACCTGTCACGTTGCCAGCTGTCCTCCATGGGTAGAGCTCATCCCGTACCACTTACTGATACTGCTATGTCAGCAGCCCTCCTTCAGCAGGTTTATGAAAAACACTGCTTGGTCACTGCTGCTTAATGTCCGTATCATGCACTTCAGCTTTCCTCATTCTTTCAAACCTGTTACAGTCTTTCCTATCTTCAACTAGCTTGTCTGTCTTTCAGTACAGATCTGCAGGTCCTGGAAGGGCAAGTAATCCAACTGAGAAACCTTTTTTAAAAAAGTTCAGTTAAAGCAGTTCTGGGACTATTCAGCCTGGAGAAGAGAAGGCTCGGGGGGATCTTACTAATGTGTGTAAGTATCTGAAGAGAGGGTACAAAAAGGATGGAGCCAGGCTCTTTCCAGTGGTGCCGAGTGGCAGGACAAGAGGCAACGGGCCCATAGTGAAACACAGGAGGTTCCCTCTGAACATCAGGAAACACTTTTTCACTGTGAGGGTGACCGAGCACTGTCCACCAGTCTCCCACCTTGGAGATACTCAAAAGCTGCTTGGACATGGTCCTGAACAACCAGGTGACCCTGCTTGAGCAGGGGGATTGGACCAGATGACCTCCAGAGGTCCCTTCCAACCTCAGCCATTCTGTGGTTCCATGATCTGTTCCTTTTCAGTTTTGACTCCTTCAGCATAAGTTCTTACCTACGCCTTTCTCCCCTGTACTGGAGTTACTTGCCTCAGCTGTACATGCAAATGTTTGAGGTCTGTTGGAGAAGGATAGATTCTTTCCAGTGACAATTCGGTTCCTCTGACTTCAGTGTTCAAGTCTTTTCTTCTAATGATAGGGTCTACAAGCAGCAAACATTGCAGTTGCCTCACTTTTGGGCTGCTCTGTGTGTGTGTGCATGCATGCGTGTATCTACACATGTAGATACATGCTCTCCTTCTCTAGCAATAAAAATGAACTGGCTGTTCATTACCTTCCTCACTAGGCCATACCTGGCCTGTTGAGGACCTCCCCTTCACTTAATGCTTTGTGGGCATAGCATGTTGGATTCATCAAATGATCCCTAGAGTTGTCCAGCCCTTTGGAAAAGTCAACTACCATATCATAGGTTTATTGGCTGAGAAATAGGTCAAGATCTGCGAGTGTATGTCATAGCTCACGTTAGAATTCAGAAGTATCTGACTCTGGCCTATGGTTGACATATCTTTTCCTTACCTGCATTTGATTGAAAGATTATGCAGCATTATTATCAAGACTCACTTTTTTTCCCCCCTCTCCTTTTCCCCCCCCGCCCCCCCATCAATAGGAGAACTAGTAAGTTGCTAACAGCTGTATTGGATAAATTACGAGAATTATTCACTGAATACATAGAATTTCTGTTCCACGGCATTTCACTTTCTGTATACCACATTTAGCTAAGCTAAGCTAAGGTGTCTGTATGCCTGACCAAATGAGAGCTGGCATCTGTTTTGATCCTAATCTAGCTGCTGTCTAGACTGAGACAATGAAAACAATTTACCCCATCAATCCTTTAGTGGAAAATCCATACGGAAGAAAATGGGAATAGCCAAGTAACTGTTAAATTAGTATAATCCTGTTGTCTTACTCAGACAGTTCACTGTTGGCTTTAAATAACTTTTAAAGTGAAAGGAACAGTTTATATAGTTTTCTGTAGATTTGAATAAAGCTATTTGCACATCCTTTAAGTCCTTTCTGTCAGCTTTGAAGTTTATTCTCTTTGCAAATAATGGAATATGATTTTTCTAACTTTTGCATTTTGCGAGCCAAAGTCGTCTTCTACAAGCCTGTACACTGTTCTTGAACTAGTATTATTTTGAAATTGAAGGCGTCACTGTATATTTACTTCTTTGTAACGAAATTTATGTACACCCACATACACAACACTATGCTATATTTATTTATACAATTCATAGTGTGGCTTTACTGCCTAAAATGTGATATGCATATAAAAGAGAGTTCTTGCACTGAAGCCAAGTAACAAAGTATCGTGGGAAAAGCACGTGACATGCAAAAGAAATAAATAGGATAATGATGGATGAGGTCTAGAGAAATCTCAAGGGTTTTTTGTGTTTGTATTTTTTCTACTATGAACATTGCATTTGAAAAAAAATACGGCATTAATAGATTACTATTAATAGATTACTAAACTCACTGGAGTTTAGTGTAAGAAAGATAATTAGAGAAGAAAAGGGATGACTTTGGTAAGTGAACTGAGCAAGAGGTATGAAAAAAAAGACGAGAAGGATAAGAAGCAAAAAGCACAGAGAATACTGTTGGAATCCTGGGAGGTACTGCAGGAAAAAGTGGGAATTATAGGGACATCAGCGATCAGTGAAACACTGGAAATTGAACAGACGAGTTCACACACAAGGTTTCAAAGGCCCCTTCCAATCCATACTGTGTAGGAAGATTTAATGGTCCTCCTGTCCCAGATGGTTCTTCTTTTGAATCTGATAGAAGGCGAGGTTCAACAAAGGCAAGATACAAGCTTTTCCTCGTGGCCTGCTGAAGGCTGCTTTTCAGAGCTTTTTTGCTGTTGCAAGATTCTCATTTTGTTTGTGCAGGTTGTCCACTCTTATTGCCCTGTATGAAGGGTAGGGAAAAGGACTTATCTGTAACTCTCTCTAAATTATACAATGTGGACTTATTTTCACTGGAATGTGTGGAATTTTTGCCTTAACAGAAATAATCTCTTTCAAATAATTTCCTGTCTAAGATTCATTAACATTGTAAACAGAATACCAAGGTCGGTTTCAATACACATAGGCATAAATAAAATAGTTAGAATATTAAAGCTCTTTGTGCACATCTTTATTGTTATTATTATACAGTGAACAGTGTATCTGTGACACCATGCTGAAGGAGACTTGCCAGCACTGCCCAGCCAGGTGTGAAAGGTCCTAGGGAAGGATCAGACTGAAAGTGTAGAGAGGGGATGGAAGAGTGGAAAGAAAGAAAAGAAGAAAGATGGGGGGGGGAAAGAGGAAAGAAGACAAAATGAGAGCTTGAACAAGAAGAAGAGTCACAGAAGAAGGTGGAAGAGCATTCTGAGATGGACAAGGTTTTGGAGCTAGATTTAGTGGTGAGATGATAATGCAACCTATATCAAGAGCTTGTGATAGGGAGGGAAGAAGTTACAAGTTACGAAAAGCCAAGAAGCCGAGATGCTGAAGAGAGAACAGGTTCTATCTAATGAAAAAGGCAAACCAAGAAATTCACATGCCTTCTAGTTTTGCCACCAGTAGTATCTCTCGATGATGATACTATTTTGGGGTATATTTTACTATTTGTTTTATATAAATTCTGTATATTTTCACTTCATTGTATATTGTTTACTAAATATATTTGCTATTATAGAACATGAAATGTGTAAACATCAAAATGAAGTTTACAAAATGCTATTTCTGAACATTTACACAAAGATTTTATACAAAACGTGTTCCAGCTATTCATGTTTTCCTTGCTGTTACATGAAATCTGAGAATGTGTGGAAAAATATATATTTTCATTTTATTAGAAGTAGTCCCAGAATTAACTTAGTAATTTAAAAATTAAAAAGATTTCTTTTTGAAAGTGTAGAAAAATATGTTTCTTATTACTTAATAAGGTACAGGTGTTCCATACTTTGAGAATATTCACCTCCTTGGTATTTACCTTTTGTTAAACAGTTAAGATTACAGTGCTCACAATTAAGAATTGCTGTCAAAGACACGTTAAGCAAAACAAAAATCTGAAAAAATACTATTCAAGTAGCTTTTCACGTAAACCAGACAGACTGTAGCAATGAAGGGGAAGGGAGGACAAGTACTTTGGGTGTGATAAGTGCACATTTGTGAACAAACACTTCTTGTGTTGTTACATTTTTACGAAACACATCCGTGCACTCTTATAACTACATGCCAGCTACAGAAGTGTTTGTCTTCATGTGTAATACAAAGTACTACTACATCAAGAATATCAGTAACCGTATCATTCAGTATTGAATTTTGTAATAGACAATATGCAAAGTTATGCTGCTATAAATAGTTTATATTAGTGCTGTTTATTTCTCTTCCATTACAGGAATAAGCTGTACTGATGTGTAGTACCTTCCCATAGTGACTGCATCTACGATAGGGGGTTTGTACCACTTTAACTCTGTCAGTACCTTCCTATAGATACAGCCTAAGTCTGTTTCATAAAATTAACTAAACCAGTAATACGGTTCTCATTAATCATAGTTAAATTCAAAGTAGTGATAAACTTGTAGTGAAATAATTTCGTGTCTGATTAGAAGAACAGGTAATTGCACATGTTCTGGTACACTTTGGGGACTTTTACATGCTTTGCATGAGAATACTTGCGGTTTTTGCAAGGCGCAACTTGAAGTAGAATTGAATTAAAAACATAATTGTGATGGCATTAATACTGTTGACACTGGCGGCAGAATTTGGCAGACCTTGTATTAACATTTCACCTTTACATATAACTTTAGTTTTTAGAACAGCTTGAACTGACCGTTAGGGTTGTTTGGGGTTTTTTTGTGGGTTGGAGGTTGAATTTTTTTTTTTTAAAAACATTACGTTTTTACATTCCTTTTATTACAGAGACACCTGGTGGTCTTTGGGTGTATTTACAAAAATATCTTTTTTTTTTTCTGGGTTTATTTTAAAGTTTGCTTTATCATTTATAATTTATCATTTATATTTAGAACCTCCTACATTATGATACTACATCATTTGAAAATTAAATTGAGAACATTTACATATTATCCAGTATGTACTGGATATTGATTCTCATGGTTATCATGGGTATTTTTCTTGCATCTTCCCTATCAGTCAGAGAGCTATATGGAGGAGACACTTGGGCATATTTTAGGCTAAGTGAAGTAAGAATATATTTCTTGCAA